CAATTTTACAGCCACATCACAATCAGCCTCTCATTTATAAAATGTTCACTTTGTCTGGTTTTGTTGCAGTCTGCCCCTTATGATAATCAGTACCAGATTTGGTAACGTTTCGTTACTAAATTTGGTAGGGGAGCTTAGCACTCGGAGAGGTAAATTACCTCCCCTCTACCTCCCCCAATCTATTGCCAGATTTGGCAAACTACCTACTACTAAATATGGCAGGGGAGGTACTGACTCAAATAGATCAAATGGTGAATTAATCAAAGCAGAAATGAAAAGAAGTGGATGGATAGTTATTTGTCTTAGTGGAAGACATCGGATTGGACGTGCAGACATGGAACCGAATTTCCTGAACTGGAACAAATTCCGCGTGTACCGGTTTCATTGATGGAGAGAATTATGCAGAGCGAAGAAGTGAACAGTTGTTACTGCAGGCAACCTTTCTACTAATGAATATGCGATGCAATCCACAATGTCATCTTACCAATTGTAGTAATCATATTAATATAATATTCCCAAGCCTTATTATTATTTACGCCATCCTATTTAGACGTGAAACATCCAAACGTGCGTCAAAACAGAGAATCACATTTATTTGGGCATTTTTATCTGGCTAGAAGAAAAAGCCTGGTCGGATACCTTTCGAGGCTATGAGAACGTCATACGTACGTACCCGATCATAACCCTAATAATAATAACACTATCATAATTAATGATTAAAAATGTTGGGTCGGTAAAAAGCAGGTTCCTATATCACACGATATCAGGTGTCACATTTACGTATTATTGTTATAATGAAACGCTGTAAATTAAGGTTAGAAGTCATGCGCAAATATTTGCATCAAAGCGAGTGAACTTTTGTGGATTATCGACAATATTAATATGGAAAGAGGCTTTGGACCACTGAAAAGTTTGTGGTAATATAATTTGCAAACTGCATGCATAATCGGTAACACCAAATTAACTTTATTTATATTGAAATATTTAATATTGCACGGCTTGGGAGTATATATTTGTTGGTAAACACCACTGACTGTCTCCTATTCTCTTCAAATAGCCAAGTCGTCGCAGAGGATAGTGCGTAAAAGAGCAATTCTTTACTACAAACGTTGGATCTTATGGCATAGACATAAAACGCGTCCATCCATACCAAACCATAATAATCATTAATAAACTTATTATTGAACAACACGAAACCAATATAAACAGCGCAGGCTATAAAAAAAACTCTCATAACCTTTTATCGAACCAACCAACTAGACACGTCATGCCTGCCCGAATAACAAGAAAATACACACATGAAGAAGTCTCCAAACACAACATTCCTAACGACCTTTGGCTCATCCATAGCAACAAAGTATATGACTTGACTGAGTTTGCGGCCGACCACCCTGGCGGTGAACATTTAATACAACGTTGGGGCGGAAAAGACGTGACGGACGTAATGACTGACTTGTCGTCACATGCACACTCTGAAATGGCATACGAAGTACTAGCAGAGCTGTGTATAGGCGAAGTGGCGGACAGTACGCATGAAGAAGAGGAAAGAGAGAGCGAGTTGAAAGAAGAGGATACAGAAAAAACCGAAGAGAAAATTGATAACGAAATCAATCTTACTCATCAGAACGATATCTCTAATCCGGTTAACGAAAGCGAGATCAGAATACGCCATACTAATGGACGTACGGAGGAGAATATCCATAACGTAGCATCAAACATCAAAACCGAATATGACGGAGGCGCTATTCACGATATCATCGCACTTGAAGCATCTGCGATTTCTCCAAGTAGAGAAATACAAGCAAACGGCCTTTCGGGTACTAATACTAGTACTTCCTACAGGATCTCGCAGTACTCAACTCCAAACCAAGAATCTTTAACCCTTCACCGCTCATCGGTTTCTCCGGACTTTCAAACCCCATCAACCGGTATCTCATTCGGCTCTCCCATGCCATCTTCCACGCTCAATTCAGCTAATTTGTCCCGCAATTCTCTAGTATCACCCCGTCCAACCTCTCCCGTCCCTTTCTTTGATTTCTCTGCCCCGCTGGTCCCACAACTCCTCTCGTCTTCCATAACAAAGTCACAGTACCTTTCTCTCCTCAGAAACCCTACATGTCTTCCCTTTCCGATACGTTTGTTCCGCAACCCATACCTGGAATTCCTCTCTACTGCTCCGTGGTATATCGTTTTATTGATCTGGGTTCCGTGGATGGTGTACCATTATAAGCTAGCCAGAGATGGACTAGGGAGTTTAGTGTTGGTTACAGTATTGGTTGGAGTATATGCGTGGATCATCGTGGAAAGGAATGCATATAAAGCGTTCGAGTGGTGGGAGAAGGAGAGAAAGGAAGAGGATCTGTTGGCAATGGTATGCCATTTTGCGGCAAAAGGAGTACATTCGTTGGTTCCAACGGACAAGTGAGTATTGGGTAGATAGAATGTGTCAGATTCTTGTTAAGAAAAAAAAAAGTAATTAACCGTCTACGTCCTTACATGGTTGCTTTATCTATCAGAAACCACCTCGTAACGCCGCCTATCCTCAGTGCCATTTTCTTCCAACCTTTTCTTCGCCTGGCTTACATTTTCCTTCCGCATTCCATTGCCCATGGGCTTATTTCTGGAATGATGCTCGGCTACATAACGCACGAACTTCTCCATTACTACTTTCATCATGCCACCGTAGAGAATGACCGTTTGAAGCTAATGAAAACCGAGCATTTTGAGTGTCATCATGGAAAGAATAAGAAGACATATTACGGGATTTTAGGAGGTATCTTTTAAGATCCTTCGTTCGAAATAATTGCACACGATGTAGAATAATTGATTGAAAGTCGAAAAAATAATTTAATTAGTTTCACGTATATAAAAGTATATTTGTCATTTTAATTTTCTACACCATCTAACATAGTCATTGAAAGATTATTGGTTTATTTTCTAATCCTGTTTTTTTTTTTTTACAATCAAATATTCATCTTAAATCCTACACTAGACCTTTAACGTTTCAGACTTTTTTACTCGAACGAAACTTCCCTGTTGGCTTTTTCTCTTGTCCTGCATCCTGTAATAACAAACATGTCGGAAGCGTATAAGGAGTGAACTTTTTTTTCGTCATAGAATTGTAGATAGACAACGATATCTGCTTATCATAACATAAGCATTATCTTAGCTTGCTGTTATTTTCAAAGAGAAATATAGAAAGCGTTCGTACATCGAATAATTTCTAATAAATGTGATGCGCTATAACAAAAGTGGATGAAGTGAACATCGTTTAAAATCATCTGATGCGAATTGAAAATTTATTTTCGCTTGCTGCTGTCCGAGAACACCGTCGCCGGAGGAATTCCTTGACGCTTGTCCTATATGGCTGTTTAGCTTGTGTGATGTAACTTGGATGTGCCATTTCAGTGTCTAAAGTTTGCCGGCACATCCAGATATAAAAACGGTTCCGCGTGGATTTTGAAAAATTCTGCGCACGAATTATTATCGCTTGTCGTAAATCTTTTCGAGATCGAAATGACAAAGACGAACTTTGAATAAATGAATACATAAATACATAAATAAATAAATAAATAAATAAAAACAATAATACCTAGCGCAGTTAATGCGTTCAACCCATACTAATGCGCATGATTTTTGAAGTCTCTTGTCCTCATTATCATGCTCATTAACGTCTTTTCCTATACTCACATCCGTATAAAGCTTAAGCTTATCTTCAATAGGTTGAGATTACGATTTTTGATTTTCAAACAAGCAAAATATTGCAACGGTTAAAGAATTTTGGGGATAAATATGTTTATGGTTGTCGGTATTTGAATGGCACAAAACCGAAAACGCGCATGAAATATGCAATCTCATGCGGAGCCTGTGCTTGCATTGAATGAAGCAATTGTCTACGAAAACGGTTCTGAAGCTTTGACTACGAGCATACAACTCTCTCGGCAATACCCAAGGCAAATGCGAAAAAGTTTTTGGAATAAAATGCACAAACTTTATTTCCTTCCAAACTACGCGTCTAGTCAAAACGGTCAATTAATACGTTTTGGCGTTCTATTCTTATGCATGTAATGCCGACAAGAAACTCGGCCACATAACTTTGTTACTTGTGTACTTGTTTTATTTGTTTACACTTTTGATTTTGTTATTAAAAATACAACGACAGGGTTTTGATTGACCGACTTCGCAATCTATCAAGATGCCTACACTTTACATAAATTAACTATTATTTTGCCTTCTAAGTATATGATATTAAGAAGCTTAAAAATAAAAGTCTTTGGGAAGAGATTGGAAAAAGCACTTTGTTAATTTGATTCAAAGCATTGAATAAAATAATGGACAGGAATGGTTGAAGATAAGCCATTGAATAAAAATGTTGTTCCAAAAACTTTTTTCGCGCACTGTAGAATACGCTCAGTAACAAAGACCGATGTCAAAACCAGTATAAGAATAATGGTCATCATTGAATGATATTAGACTTTATTAAATGTTAAACGTCGAGAGCCCACATACGTGAACGCCGTTGAAGTCAAGTCATCCAACTTTTACGAAAATTATCGGGTAATCATAAGAGACAATTTTCTGTCGCTTAGTATAACTGACACACATCACGGAGGAATGTCATCGTTTACGCTTGACTGCAATTGGTGACTTGTGAGGTTTTTGTCTTCGACAGGAGAATTCTTTCGAAAAACTTTACATTTCAAAGCCGTCGCATCTTGTTATGTAGAGTTTTCGATGTGTCAAAAAGATAGTATAAGAGATATTGTATAGTGATTGCTTTAAATGTTAATTGCACGTTCCCGGTGTATATCAGAGGAAGAAACACTTTGCAAAAATGGACGCCTTTCCAACTGTAGATACGGAGTAACGATAATTATATCTGTTAAGAAAGTTAATTACGTATAGATAGGTCATCTACTCAAAGAGTATTGTAAGCCTTGCCTTAGACTACGTGGAAGTCAATCGATTGTGACAAGCATGTCATCGCTGTGAGGTAGATAAGTGAGATGACGCTCTTCGTCCTCATTCTCGTCGTCATTAGTGAGTTCGCTACTTTCTTCAGGCTGCTGAATTATGGACTGGCTTAAATACGATGTAGATCAGCGAATGCCGTCAGAAAGAGTAGTATCCAAGTTGCTCGTCGTATTGGTGGCGACATAAGAGTGTCAACTACTCAAAGTAATACACCTAGTGTGTCGTGCGAAACTCGTATGATATCGCGAATGCCATCAATTATTATGTTCTTAGAGAGAATCTGTTACTCGCCGTAGTAAACGGAGACTCTTAAAAGGACGTACGTGGTAATTTATTATGCATTGTATAAGTCCAATGTATGTCGATACCATTACTACGATTGAGAGAACACGCATAATTGTTATTGTTAGGTAAACCAGACCACAAAGTAGACCCTTCTGTCAACTAGTGTACCCCGGATCTACAACTGGACTTCACCAGTTGTCAGTGTTGCTTTGTTAGTACTTTCTGAACTATATCTTTGCAAATCTAATCAAAACAAACCTTTCTACTTAAGGCGCGTTAATATAAAGACAAAAGAATTTCAGCTTGCATCAATGAAATTAAATATAAATGCATATGTTAATTATTCGCTTTTTAGAGGCATGAAAAATGGGGTTTTTTGCACAATTGTTCGATTATTGCCAATTTCTTGCGCTTCGATTATGCTGTCGGTAAAATATGCAGACATGCTTATAATCTGGGTTTTAACAACATCTCTACACGTATTGTAATCCAAATTGCTGTACTAAAAAGGTTAGTATTAGTATTAATGATTGAAAGAACTGCATTATCGTAAAGCTTGAGTTTATTTTCAAGTCATGCCTTGGTCGGCATTACAAAGGTTGTGTTACCCAAGTTTAAAGCCGACTTTATGAATATTATGAGGAATATGTATATATATACCCTCTCCTCTCTCCTCTCATCTGGTCGTGTTGCTTATTTTATACCTTATACACATAATATACATCGCATACGCATACCTCATTCGTTATGGAAACCGAACTAAGATGCAATGTCGTGCAATGTCGAAAGCTGCTCAATTCCGAAGGCAGGGCTTGTGTCACTACATGTTCACGTTGAGTATTTACGTGTTAACAGAATAAGTAAACAGAATAACAAGTAGCGAACGCATAAAACTAAAACGTATCTGTATCAATTGTTTGACGCGTCTAGACATTTTCTGTGGTAAATACATTATATCGAATCGATCGGCTATATTTTGTTCAAATCTTGACGCGTTATTTCTAGTTAATTGTGCAAACAGCGCATTTACTTCAGCGTTAGTATGCCCTGCTTGCGAGACTACTCTAACGGAAAAGTAGGTCAATAGCCATTATTCTTGAAATTGCATTATTTGTCTGTAACTAATTTAATATAACAAATACAGTGACGATATAGTCTTCATCGAACTTAATCCTAGCGAAGACTATAAATCGGTACATACAACGCAATGTTTATAAAAATTATTAGTGATATAATCTCAACGCACGAATTGTTCCATTAGTCTGTCTTATCAGGTCTTCGTCCGGATATAATAATGGAAATCGCCACGCGAGCGCTCTCTTTTTGGACCTACCAGACTATGTTTCCAAGAAATAATGTATAGAGATTTACAGGAGAAATACCAAAGGCTTGAAAAAAATTTGCATATGTTTAATAGAGAAGCAAGAAACGAGTTTTGCGGTAATCCATCGTCGTTATTTGTTTAATTAATATGCTAGATATAAGATTAATTTTAACCTTGGGTTTCTTATAATCAATCCGACAGCATTAGGAGAAAAGCTGTCAGGTAAGAACAAATAGGCGGGTGTTTGTATACATTAGTCCGTATATCGATGTTACAATTGCTATCTCGATCACACACCAAGCTCTAGAAAAGGAGTTGGAGTTGGAAAAGCGAAAAAATCTTGAAATCTCCGACCAGCTCCAAGAAAAGGGTCGGCAGTTTACAAAATTACAGGCAAGTTCGAATACAAAGTTTTTTTTTATTATACGTCATACTTATAATGGATATTGTGTTGTTCTTTATCCACAATTGCAGTCAATGTACGACCAGCTAAAGCGCAGAACATTGGTGCCTACGATGACCAGAAATGCAACCGGAAATGGAAGACCAGGAACGACAAATGACGTAAAAACATCTTCCAGCAAATTGCTATTAATTAATTATGAAGACAATCTATTTATTATTTTTATCAATGACTCTGTACACAGCAACCACTGGCACAACCACTGGCACAACCACTAGCACAACGGCAACCACAGCGGCAACCACAACGCGCAAACGTCCTGGATCCGCGCGTTCCCGTGAACCAACCACATAGGTGGAATTCATATTCAGGTATAGTTACGTCAATCGCGCTCATGCAGCAATATCGTTTGCTTCATAACCCTAACCATTGCTCTAAAATATTAGATACGACATTTGCGATTCAAAATAACGGTCAGCGTATACATGGGTATTCCCCAGTGCGAAACGGTCGAACTTCAAAGGGTAAGCAAACAAATCAAAATTATCGACATAATGCTGGAACGAGATTAAAATTTATTTTATTGTATGGTTATCTTTTAGCGCCTAACAGGCGGCCATTCTCTGGACCGCCCAACGCTGGCATGCGGTTTATGCCGCCGACAACACGAGGAACTACGAGATAATTGATAGCCGCGTATCTGACGACTGTTTGCACGGAAATTTGCAAACCGAACTTGCTAGTTGTATTAGTATTATCATTTCTGTTTTTCTTGCAATGTAGCGTGGTCAACTTTTATTCCCCTTTTATGATTACAAGCATTACTGGTTTTGTGTATGTTGTACCAAATGTCAAAATTAAAATGCAAGCGCTCGCTCTACTCCTGCTTGGCGAACAATGTGCCTAAAAAAGAAAACAAAGGGGAAGAAAAGGATAAAACATGGCAAATATTTGTTGGAGAGCCGACAAAGTTGATTAGTGAATTCTTGGAAAATTGTATGAGAACATTAGAAGCAGAGGCCGAGAAGAAGGAGCATGGGAAAGACTGGCGGTAGGAGAACAGGAAGAGATGTGAGATGATTTGAGAGAGAGAAGTTAATGTGTTGTAAGTGGAAATCAGGAAGATGGATGCTTGTACGTGTTAGCTTTTAGTTATATTAATCGAATATGTGATCTCGGTGGATTGGTTTCAAGAGTGAACTGATTATCGAGTTTCTTTTCTCACTTTTGAGTCTATATCCCCTTACACGGTTTTTCAACACTCTTGCGCCTAATTCCTTTTTTGCAAATGATCGCGTTTTCTTTTTATTTCTGTCTGATTCATATATATCATTCACTTTACTGATCACTTGAAACCAGGGTCCAGGAACATTTGAAAACCTCAACAAGCAAGCTTTGGAGGTCCACCGTTGCGTCTAATAAAGGACACGAAATCATTACACGACGACGATATTGGACAATCTGAAGGTATTATACGCGAGCTTATGTCTCCTACATCTGTTTCCCCAATACCACACCCGTAGAATCATTCACTCAGTCTATCTTTATTATCTCGTATATCCGATAAATACGACAGATCAAATGGCCAACAATACTACAACCTTGCCTTCTTCGATAGGCGGCCTTCGAAAACGGTCAAGACGTGGAGGGGGTGAGAAGGAGGGAAACGAGAGGCGAAAGGAGAAAAAACTTAAACGAGTCCCATTTCACTATAGTACTCTATCTCTAAACCTCCCAACTCTCCTACAGACTCTGTCTCTGTTTCTTTTTCACTTCCTTCTCCGCCTTCATAACTACTGTACCCTCCTTCGTCAGGGTGTGTCATCAACTGGGGAGTTGGATCTATACTCGGAATAGGAATTGGAGCTAGGTATATGTCTTTAAGATCTTTGATTGCCTTTTCTATTTTATGATTAGTTTCTGCCAGCAAGTATTATTATTCTCTGCCAAGGAAGATTCTTAGTCAGTTCCTTGACGTCTTGAGAGCATCATTATTAAATCGAAACCATACGGTTCTTTCTTTGTTTCTTTTGTTTGCTCATACTTGGTAGAGTTTAAACCATAATACATAGCACATGATAACTTTAACTGAATGCACCTAGACAGAATTGAAGTTATAGAATGTGCATGAGCAGCTACACATAGACATCAGAGATATTATAATATTTAAGGATAGCAATAATTCATTGGGTGTTCAGTCTAATAGGTGGATAGTGTGTTTGTTGGTTTGAATATTATCAGTGTTTTGTGTGTAGTGTTCAAATTGTCCAAAAAGAAGAAGGCAACAATTTGTCATTACCCACATATGATCCCCCCAATGTTTTGTGTTTAATGTTCAAATTGTCCAAAGGGAAAGAAGAGAAGACAACAATTTGTCGTATGCTCACTCCACCCCCAAATGTTTTGTGTGTAGTATTCAAATCGTCCAGAAGAGGTGAGCTAGTTTCAGTTATTTCTTGAACGATGGGTGGAACATTCTTCATGTGTATTTGCACTCATTGCCTCGGTGGCACATGCATCGATGGCCGACAATAACGCCTTCCACATAGTAATAGCGTTTACTTGTCGAATGTAAAAGTGGGTAACGTAAGCCCCAAAAGCCATACATCACGTTATCAATGGCAGTGTAAATTGTTCGTCGTACAGAGATCTTAAAATACCGATACGATAAGATAAGATGACAGATTTTTCATGATTCCCTTTGAGAAGAAAATTTCTGATTTTTTTTGTATTGTGATATTCTGATAATAGATGGGTAAGCTTCGGCGGAAGATCACATGTTTGATTCATGAGAAATCACTGTCTCACTTCTCTACACTACTGTTGCCCCGTGAACGTAAACTATTCTCTAGATTATAAAGAGGAGCAAACACAAGAACTTGAAGTATTAAAAAGTATATATCCGGACGAACTAGAGGGTATGTGTTTGGCTGGGGAGTGATTGATGAAAACTTCTGTTTGTATTTTGGAAAGCGAGCGTATTTGTTTGTCAATTAAATTCAATTCCATCTGATTCGTTAGAGATTACCGAAGACGAATTTCGAATAATACTTGAACCCGAAGAACAAGAAATAGATGCGCCATGTGCGTAATTGATAATGTGTCATGTTTTGTATGTCAAGATTTTTATGCTCTTACTCAATGTTCTCACTGCTTTGCTTCTCTTCAGTAACGGTAGCATTACGTATAAAATTTACTCCAACATATCCAGAAAGTTCTCCTGAAATAAACATTGATATAATCAAGGGCGAATTATCAGATGTAGAGCAAGAAGAGTTTTTGAATGGATTGCTTAAAGTGGTGAGCGAGAATTGGAAGTTATGAGCAGTTGTATTGGTTGTGTTCTATGTGATTACTAATCTCCTTATTCTGGGCCAACTTTTTACCTTTCAGGCAGAAAGTTCGCTCGGCATGCCAATAGGATTCGATTTGGTAACATCGTTGAAGGATATGTTAACATCTTATGTTGTTGAAAACAATGAAAGGCGGAAGCGGGAAACGGAAGAGAGACTTCAGCGAGAAATTGAGGCCGAGCAATCCAGGTTCCGTGGGACCAGAGTTACGGTAGCATCATTTCTAGAATGGAAAGCACGATTTGATCAGGAATTACTTGAAAAGGAAGAAGCAGCGAGAGGAAGCGCTATAATAAAACGCGAGGAAGCCAAGAAACAGAAACCGACAGGTAAGACAAGTCATTGATCTTATTTGTATACTTTACAAGCATATCTATCATTTACTGTACGCTGTACGAAACACTGTGTCATATTAAATTAGCGATTATTAATACTGCCCTCTAAAATTCATTATGTAGGCCGACAGTTATTCGAACAAGATGAAACATTGACCAGATCGGATATGACATTTGTTGAAGAGGGAGATGTAGCCGTTGACGTATCTTTGTTCGAACATGAAAGCGGATATGAAGATACTGATGAAGATGACGTTGAGGGCGAAGAGGAGAATTATGTGCTGAATAACATTAGAAATGCGGAAGATTGAGACAGTAAAGTCTAATGTTTGGTGAGATAGATTGGGAATGAATGGATATTTGAGTCTTTTTTTTTTATCAAGAGCTGATTTATGGTACATTGATGGGAGATATTTGCGATGGT